GATGACCCTTTTCAGACTCCCCTGACATGACAGTGACCTTTTACCTAGACTGGAGCCTATGAACTGTTACCATATGTCTCAATATAAGGTCTGATACCTAACTTCCACTTTTCTGTGTTAACGTGTGTGTGTGTGTGTGTGTGTGTGTGTGTGTGTGTGTGTGTGTAAACTACCCTAACCCAACTCTACCCTACCACTTGGTTCTGTTCACCATACCTGTAAAGTATGCTCAGTACAATATTTTAGATTCTATTAATGCTATTCACCCTACTTGAAATACCTTTCCTCCATCCCAGTCCTCTTTGTGGATTCAAATCAATGAGTAGAAATAATAAATGGCTCTTTAAGCTTCTGCTCAAAATTGGCACCATCATTTCTACTCATATTGCATTGTCGAAAACTAGCCATATCGACAGGGGTACTGCATACTGCTCTGGAAGGAAACACTGTAAGCCCCATAGCAATAGGCAGGAAGGTCTAATATTTTCATATAGAAGGAGAGAATGAATATTTGAGAGTGATAAAATCAAAACCTAATAGAACAAAGAAATTGTGGCTAGGAAATGTGCCAGGGCGACATGGACAATCTGGTGAGTCTTACTGTCACTGCCACAACCTACACTTGTCACTCAAATCCATTTTATTTCTTCTTCCTACACATAGAATACACTTGATCTCTCTCCAGGGGAGACATTCTGAAGTCCCATGAAATCATTGCATCCAACTCAAAGGCCAGGAGTGCCAGGATTCTCCCTCCGGTTCAGATGTGGTTTCTCTTGTTCTGGACACCCACACTAAAAGGAAAAAGAAAAGTCAAAAACCTCTCCACACCACCCTACTACCACACATAAGAACAGGAACAGGAACAAGATAGACACTTTAAAAATGGAAGGAAGATATGGTATTTTGCTAGGGCTGTCATAACAAAATACCACAGACTGGGGGGCTTAAACAGCGTACATTAATTTTCTCACAGTTATGGAAGCTACAAATTCCAAATCAAAGTGCTAACAGTGTGGCTTCTTCTGTCCTTGACTTGCAGATAGCCACCTTCTTGCTGTGTCTTCATGTGGCCTTAACACTGTGCACATACATCCGTGGTATCGGTAGGTTCAAATTTCCTCTTCTTAAAAGGACACCAGTCAGCTAGGAATAGAGCCCACCCTAACTGCCCCATTTTAAAGTAATCACCTCTTCAGGGGCACCTGGGTGGCTCAGTAGATTAAGCATGCTACATGGCCTCAGGTTATGATCTCACGGTTGGTCAGTTCGAGCCCCGCATGGGACTCTGTGCTGACAGCTCAGCACCTGGAGCCTGCTTCTGATTCTGTGTCTCCCTCTCTCTCTGCCCCTCCCCTGCCTATGCTCTGTCTCTCTGTGTCTCTCAAAAATGAATAAATGTTTAAAAAGTTTTTTTTTTAAATAATCACCTCTTAAAGTTTCCACCTTTGAATACAGTCACATTTCACATACTGGGAGTTAGCATTTCAAGTGTGAACTTGATGGGAGACAGGATTCAGCCCATAATAAATGGGAAACACGCAGCACTTGTAAACTATAGGCCTTTTACTCTGGGGTGGGGAGGTTCCTTGATAAGAACCTGATTCTACTGTGGAAGAAAATTCTTTGTCCATTGTTCTCTATGGCTCCTGAAGCCATCTGCAAAATATTCTTCCTTTATCATTGTCCTGCTGGGTACATCTTTAATAGCTATAGGAGAAGAGGCCCTCCTTGGTAACCATACAGCTCTGCAGCCCACATCTTTCTTTGGAAAGATATGGGACCAAAGGTGGTTTGGAAATTTCAAATAGTCAAAGACAGTCAAGATATTTATTGGCAGCACATTTTCCTTAAAAACATACCAGGCTTATAATCTCTTTGTTCCAATAGTATGTGCATCCAAAGTTATTTTCAAGATATTGTTCTCAGATCTACTTTATTTCCTAACTTTGTAATCTCTATAACTGCCGTTCTCTCTCCCACTGCCCACATCTCTCTCTGTCTCTTTCTGTACTAGGCAGGATTCTAAAATGGCCCCCAAGATTACCAGCCCCTGAAGTACATGTCCTGGATATGTACTCTCCTGGAGTGTGAATGAGGCATCTAAAAATGATAGATGTCACTTCTGCAATAAAGTTATGTTATATGATAAAGGTGGAAGAATTTTTATAGATGTAATTATGGTTCCTAATCTTGTGGCTTTGAGTTAATCAAAAGGGACATTACCCTGGGTGGGCCTGGCCTAATCAGTTGAACCTTTAAAAGAGGGTCTATAGATCAGGCAAATGAATCAGCAGAAGCTGTCTCTCTTCTCCTGGCCCTGAACAAGAAAATTGCTATGAGTTCTACAGATGCAACGAAATGAATTCTACCAACACTATGTGAACTAGAAGAGAACCCCGACATCAGATGGGACCACAACCCCAGCTGATACCTCGATTGCATCTTTGTGAGAAAAAGGATCCAATTAACCCATGCCCAGACTCCTGAGCCATGGAAGCTATGAGACAACTAAATGGATATTTTTGTTTTCTTAACAGCTCTATTGAGATATAATTTATATACCATGAAGCTATGAACGTAGCTCTAACCCAGTACATTTGTGTAAGTTGTTACATAGCAATGGAAAAAGAATACATTCTCTTTCAAGAAAATGACAGTTCTTTTAAGGCTTTTATAACTAAATGGGAAGACTCAAAGTTATTTTGAGTTTTGGCCCTCGTCATTTTCCTGAGGTGGTAACTTTTATTAGACATTTGATCCTCAAAGCCTTTATTAATACTATTTCTTACCGAGTGAGTTCTAGAAGCAGTAGGCTTTTCCAACCCTAAAAGGCCACATCTCTGAACCACGTATTTCCTTTCATTCCTGCTACAAACCAGACAACGCTTCCCTAAGCAAATCTCATTATTATAATACCTCACCACACAGAGTCAACAGATACTAAGATACACTACTGATGTTTTCTTTTCCAATACCGTGACATGGAGCTCCTGGCTTGGTGTTCATTTACATGGTCTGCTTCCCAAATTACTGCCGACAGTTTTCTGTAATGATTTGTCACTGTAGAACAAGATTCGCCTTTTCCCCCCTACCCTCCAATATCTATTTCCTTATTGCCTTCTCTCAAGTATTATACTTGAGAGGTAGTTAGCATATTCTGGATTTGGATGATGGCCATCCCCCACTTCTGCTATGAATTTCTGAATAGGTCCTGATGGGCTAGACTAACTCCAAAAATTTCAGAGGCTTAATACAAAAAAAGTTTGGTGAGGTTTTTGCCCAATTAAAATCCAGTAGGGCTGAGCAACCATCTTCCGTCTTGTAGCTCCCCGTTGGGAATTTACGGACATTAGGATCACATAGCAGAGGTGGAGAGAAGTGTGGGAGGCACATTGGCTCTTAACTGCCTGGACCCGAAAGTGACACATTTCACTTCTACTCACAGTCCATCAGATACACTTAGTCACATGGCTCCATTCCAAATTAAACAAAACAGGGAAGTAAGAGAGCAATCGGAATATTTGGTGATCCTAGTCTCTGCCAAAGGAGAGTTGAAACATGTCATGTATACTTTTCTAGTTTATCAGTTTCACTGTTGATTCCATATAAGTATTAGGGAGGGAAAGCAGGGGTTTCAGAAAAAAGAATCAAGAAGCAAGCAGAGCAGAACCAGGGTATAAGCAGAAAAGAAGGAGGAAATTCTAAATGAAGAAGGGAAAAAGGAGAAAAGTAATGAATCAGCTTATCCATATTTTGTTAAAGCCCTTCTGGGGCGAATGCGTTTCTTTCAGGAACGGAACATCTTCTTGTCTCCAAAGAGTCCCTGCAGTTACCTGCTTTTCTTCCACGTGCTGAAGAATTATTGAAAAATTCAAATCGTGCTTCACTTAAGCACAGTGGTGCAAGGTTAATTAGATGTACCAGTATAAAGTTTTATAGATTCACCTAAGTGTACCTGCTATACTTGTGAAGGATGATATCGCATGCCACAGCTGCACAGTAGCATTTATAAGATAATATAAATAACTGCTACAGAGATTTTTTTTACACAAGCGTAGTTATCATAAGTATCACATTGAACTTTCAGCAAATCACAAAGCTTTATATTGAACATGTCTCTTTGGATAATACCAACTGGAGCTCTCTTTTTAAGAGAGTGGCTCACTTCAGTCAACTCCCAGGCTCAGTTTAAATCAAAACAAGGACAAAAAACCTGGAGGAACAAGTGAGAAAATTTCATTAAACATCCTAATATTATTGTCTTTAAACAATGAAATGTAAATGTTTAAAGATTTATAAATTGCAGCTCTTTTGCTGACTTTTTTGGTTCTCCATTGCATTACACAAAGCGTAGACGCTATAACCACACAGACTACAAGCATTTTATTAAATTGAATGAGGGCACGCTTCAGTAGAAAAGATCATTAGACTAGAATTCAGGATCACAGCGTTTTTTTTTTTTTTTAATTTTTTTTTCAACGTTTATTTATTATTTTTGGGACAGAGAGAGACAGAGCATGAACGGGGGAGGAGCAGAGAGAGAGGGAGACACAGAATCGGAAACAGGCTCCAGGCTCTGAGCCATCAGCCCAGAGCCCGACGCGGGGCTCGAACTCACGGACCGCGAGATCGTGACCTGGCTGAAGTCGGACGCTTAACCGACTGCGCCACCCAGGCGCCCCAAATTTTTTTAAATTTTTTTTTCAACGTTTATTTATTATTTTTGAGGATCACAGCGTTTTAACCGCAGAACCGTCAATCTGGTTGCATAAACTCCTGCAGGTCACTTCACTTTCTCTGGTCCTGATTTTTCTCATCTTTAAGGTGACAGTATCAGTGCCTTTCAAGCTTTCCCCGAAGGTTCTAGGAGCGTCTTTGTGGTAGGCTGAATATTGGTCTTCCAAACATGCCCATGTCCTAATTCCTGGAAACTATGCGCATGTCACGTGACATTAACAAAAGGACTTTACATATGTAGTTAAGGTTAGGAACCGGAATGTAAAGGGAGGAGCCTGCATTATCTAGGTGGGCCAATCAGTCGCCTGAGCCCTCAAAAGCTCTTTTAGCTAGAGCCGCAGAGACAAGTGGGATGTCACAGAAAAAGAAGCCAGCAAGATTCCAACTCAGAGAAGAGCTTGGCCGACCTTGACTGAAGTGAGGTCAGGGCTTCGTGGAAAACCATGGCAAAGAATGCAGAATGGCTTGTGGAAGTAAAACAAGCCCTTGCCTGACATTTGACGAAGGAAGAAGGACCCCAGTTCCACACATGAAGAGAGGGTTATTCCAGCACGGACTTGAATGAGTCTGAAAGCAGATTCTTCTCAGAACCTTCTGATAAAAGCCCAGTTGCCCAACACCTTGGTTTCTGTCTTACGAAGCTCAGAGCTTCTGACCTACAGAATTGTGCGATAATCCGTAAGGGTCGTTGTGGTAAGTCACCGTATTTGTGGCTATTTGCTATGATGACGACAGAAAGCTAACACAGTATCCAAAAGCAATCACTGCACACAGGAATGTTTTTGAAATCTCATGCACTATCTAAGACAAACCATGTGAATGTTGCATAAAGCATAATATAAAACAGTGTGGTTTAGCCCCACAATAATGTTTCAAATTCCCACTGATTAAAACAAAACATATTTGTTGTATATCATCACTTAAATTTTCAAACTTAAAGTTTCAAAAACTCTGTACCTTAGAGTAACCCAGGCACCTCACTGTAGTAGATAGGACGACAAATTCCAGTTTGAGAAATAAACAATCAGGTGGCCTTCAAAGTCTCTCACGGTGCTATTATTTTAATGTAATTGTATGAAACTAATATTAAAATAGGTATAAGTTGAAGGACACGTATAAATACGATATGGTTTATTTACAACAGAGAGCAGGACATGGGACACTATAATTTCAGGATAAGTGGCCAAATAACAAAGGAATTTACATTTATGGCCCACTTGCAAGCAATGTTTAGCTCTGCCGAGTATCTTAGCTACATGGAAGCTGTATTTCTCCAGATTATCTGATCTGAATTATACCCAGACCCAGCCAAGTCAAACTGGGAATATTATTTAATGCAAGATACAATGGCAATAATGTAACCAAGGTACACATTATGCTCCTGGACCACAAATTGTAGCAGATTTTGTTTTAATGCGTTATTAAATAAAAACCCAGGAATATGTAGGCTTCGTGGCACCAAAACTATTGTGTGGTTGCAACCATAGCCATAACTGTCCATCTGCGGTATGGGAGAAAGAAGGTTAGTATAAAATGGAAAAAGGCAGGTAAAGTAGAGCAGGTATAAATAATGATTTGACATGGAAATGCAAGTTACCATAGTAAATGATTTGGAGCAGTTCTTAATATGTTTAGATCAATTTAAGAGGGACAAATATCTGGGTAAGTAGGATTTGATATTAACAAAGAAGTGTCACTTTACAATTGAGTATGGGAGGCAGGAGATTATGCACGTGTCCTTATTAGCAAGAGGGGTATTATTTACTCATATCAGAACTCCGACACATACATGTCTTTTTTTAAAATGGAAACATACTAGACACATAACATTACATTAGCTTCAGGTGTACAACACAGTGAATCAACAAATCTATACAATGATCACCATAAGTGTAGCTATCATCTGTCACCATATGATGTTATTATAATACCATTGACTGTATTCCCTATTCTGTACCTTTCATCCCTGTGACTTTTAATTCCATAACTGCAAGCCTTTACCTCCTACCCCCTTAATCCATTTTGCCCATACCCTCATCTTTTCCCCTCTGGCAACCATTAATTTATTCTCTGTATTTATAAGTCTGTTTCAGCTTTTTGTTTTGTTTGTTTATATTGTTTTTTAGATTCCACACATTAGTGAAATCATAAGGTATTTGTCTTTCTCTGTTTGACTTATTTCACTTAGCATAATACCCTCTACATCCATCCGTGTTGTAGCAAATGGCACAATCTCACCCTTTTTGTGCCTAAATAATACTTAGTTATGTTTATTATATATTCATTCATCCATTGATGGACACTTGAGTTGCTTCCATATATTGATTATTATGAATACTGCTGAAATAAACATAGGGGTGCATGTATCTTCCTGAATTATTGCTTTTGTTTTCTTTGGGTAAATACCCAGCAGTGGAATTACTGGATTGCATGGTATTTGTATTTTTAATTTTTTGAGGGAACTCCTTGTTGTTTTCTACAATGTCTGTACCAATTTATATTCCCATTAACAGTGCATGAAGGTTCCCTTTCCTCCACGTCCTTGCCAACACTTGTTATTTCTTGTCTTTTGTATTCTAGCCGTTCTGACAGGTGTAAGATGATATGTCATTGCAGTTTTGATTTGCATTTCCCTGATGATTTGTGATGGTGAGCATCTTTTCATGTGTCTGTTAGTGATCTGTACGTCTTCTTTGGAAAAATGTTTATGTGGGTTGTCTGCCCATGTTTAATCAGATTGGGGTTTTTTGGTGTTGGGTTGTGTAAGTTCTTTGTGCATTTTCTTTTTTTTTTTTTTTTTCAACGTTTATTTATTTTTGGGACAGAGAGAGACAGAGCATGAACGGGGGAGGGGCAGAGAGAGAGGGAGACACAGAATCGGAAACAGGCTCCAGGCTCTGAGCCATCAGCCCAGAGCCCGACGCGGGGCTCGAACTCACGGACCGCGAGATCGCGACCTGGCTGAAGTTGGACGCTTAACCGACTGCGCCACCCAGGCGCCCCACTTTGTGCATTTTCGATATTAACCTCTTATTGGATATATCATTTGCAAATATCTTCTCCCATTCAGTAGGTTGCTTTTTTTGTTTTGTTGATGGTTCCTTTGGCTGTGTAAAAGCTTTTTATTTTGATGTAGTTCCAACAGTTTATTTTTGCTTTTGTTTCCCTTGCCTGAGGAGACATATCTAGAAAAATGTTGTGAAGGCTAATGTCAAAGGGATTACTGCCTATGTTTTCTTCTAGAAGTTTTATGGTTTCAGGTCTCACATTTGGGTCTCTCATCCATTTTGAGTTTATTTTTGTATATGTTGTAAGAAAGTGGTCTAGTTTCCTTTTATTTTGCATATAGCTGTTTTCTCAGGCCTTTTACTGAAGAGACTGTCTTTTCCCTGTTGTATATTGTTGGCTCCTTTGACATAGATTAATTGACTATGTCAGTGTGGGTTTATTTCTGGGCTCTCTATTCTGTTCCATTGATCTATGTATCTGCTTTGGTGCCAGTGCCATATTGTTTTGATTCTTATAGCTTTGTAGGATCTCTTTAAATCTAGGATTGTGATACCTCCAGTTTTGTTGTTCTTTCTCAAGACTGATTTGGCTATTTGGGGTCTTTTGTGGTGCCATACAAATTTTAGGATTGTTTATTCTAGTCGTGCAAAAAATACTCTTTCTACTTTGGTAGGGATTGCATTGATCTGAAAATTGTGGGTAGTATGGACATTTTAACAATATTAATTCTTAACCCATGAGGATGGTATGTCTTTCTTTTTGTTTACAATACATACATATTTTAAAATCCAGATATAGGTATAAAATATTATTGATTAAAATACGCATCACCACACACATTAGTGATAACTGGATAACTCCCACCAAAACACAGATTATAATAAAGCTATATTTTATAATTAAGTAATTTAAAAATTGTTTTAAGTGTATTTATTTATTTTGAGAGAGTGAGAGAGAGCACAACTGGAGGAGGGGCAGAGAGGAGGAGAGATAGAATTCCAAGCAGGCTCTGTGCCATCAGCACATGGACTGATGTGGGGCTCAAACTCAGAAACTATTTGATCACGGGGTGAGCCGAGATTAAGACGCTTAACTGACTGTGCCACCCAGGCTCCCCTAAGTAAGTAATTAAAAAGAAAAAAAAGAACAGCTATTAGAAGCCATGAACAACTCAAGACAGCTATCTAACTATCCTCTCCTATTTGCAAAAAAATTCCAACTTTTTATGAGTATGCACATATGATAATGTGCAGTAATTTGCAACATTACACAAATTATGCAGCAAAAAGATTTCTTAATGTAATTTTGATTCAAGCCTTCAATAAACACTATTATTGTACAAATTTTAGTAACTTTTTAGTTTACTGAATAGCAGATAAGAGTTAGTATATTTTTTAAGAAATCTTTGAAATTGCATTGTATTTTCATTTACCCACATGAACCAGAGAAAGGAATTTTATGTATTGATTTGGTTTCTTTCCCATTAAAAGAATCCTGATTATTAGCCAATTGGTATTTCTTAGGCCACGTTTTGAGAATCAGAATATTCAAGAAAACATCAAATAATTATAATTATAGTAGATTTGATAAAAACCAAGGAATTCAAATCATATTCTAAAATATAATATTAATACTTTCTGTTTAACCTAATTTATGAAACTTTTGGATTCTGTATAACTTTCTGTAGCAATTTTCTACAATAACAATACCAATGGCAAGATTCACATGTATCTAATAGAACTAGAGATGCCTGAGAGATTCAGTCCCTTCTAATTTACTATAGTCTGGCTATCTTGATCTGTTAGTAGAAGAAAATTTGCAATTAATATTGTTTGGTCTTCATGATGAAGATCTCATGTGCAGCACTAGATATGCCAAAAAAAAAAGCTTCTTTTGGTCCTATTTAATCTTACCTCACTGATGAAAACCAATCTGCACAATAATAAAAGGAAAAGTTACCATAGTAAAGAATTTCAGGTCTTTAAAGTAAAATTTTAAAAAATTTAGCATGTATCAGTACTTTCTAAAACTAGCTATTGCATCAAAGCTAGAAAACTGGAATTATTAAATAAATAAAAAGAGATGGCCATAATATGTAAATATCATCCAAATCAATCAGATTTTCTGTGGAACCAAGTAGAAGTGGGTCTAGAAATCTCAAAAACATAACTGTATGGAATAATTCCCTTCTGAAACACATTAATGGTTATGCAATAAGCTGTCAAAGGGCACCAAGGAATATAAAATTGCTGAGGTGCCTGGGTGGCTCAGTCAGTTAAGTGGCCAACGTCTGCTCAGGTCATGATCTCGCAGTTCATGGGTTCAAGCTCCATTGAACTCTGTGCTGACAGCTCAGAGCCTGGAGCCTGCTTCAGATTCTGTGTCTCCTTCTCTCTCTGCCCTTCCCCTACTTGTGCTCTGCCTCTCTCTCAAAAATAAATAAACATTAAATTTTTTTAAAATAAAATTGACAGTATATATGTGTTGTATACTAATAATTTAATACTATAATATTATGTTAATAATATGTATAAATCAATAACATAGATACCCTAAGACACATTTCACGGACTCAACCACACAAACTTATGGGTAATGTTCAACCCTGGTATTTATAACTGGTAGACCACTAGGAGGGAAAAATGCTTTCATTTATTAATTACTTATCTCCTGGGTTACAAAGCTACTCAGAGAGTATTGAGAGAGCAATTTTGATATTCTTCCTACATATACTATATTATTTAGTAACTTTTAGTTCAGTGCAGATCATGCCAAAGCAGGCAACAATATACCTCAAGATGCAAATGTGTTCCTGTTCCATAATTCACACTTTTTTTTTTGTACATTGCATTGGTGATGTGATACAACTTTTCCCTGGCATTGGCAGTCAAGTCAGCCCATTCTGTATATTCAAACAATGTGGTCCCCCAATTACGTCATTCTCCTGATATTCTCATATCATTTACTTTTTCCTTCCTTTTCTCTTCACAGGTTTCACCACATTTGGCATATTTTCTTGTTCTGTTAAACTAGATCTTCAACATCAGTGAGCCTCTTGTTACTCCTTCCTGAAGAATATATTCCCAGAGACTCATCACAAACTCATAATCCCAGTGTCTAAGGGTATACTCAAAGGAACTCATAGATTGAGAACTAGATTGAAAACAATATCACTTATGTAAATATATTCCATATGCAAAGTTCTATACTCAAAAAAAATTATTAACTCACCAAGCTGAGTTTATCTAACTTGATCCTATTAGGACTTAGACAATCCCACAATCACTTACTCTGATGCCAAAATATATGTAAGTGAAGATCTGGTATTAAGAAAAATCTCCTTTTCACTATCTAGTACTTTTAAATAACATTTTCTTTCTGTCCTCATTAACTGGTGCCATATTTGTTTAGCCAACCATATCAGTGTATACTATGCATAGAAACCTTTTTTTAATTCTTAAAGTTATTTTAGAGTTCGGTTATTATACACTGTATAGTACACTTATCTTTAGTATAAAGTTTGGTGACTTTTTATACTTGTATACATAACCTGTGTAACCATCACTTTATCAAGATATAGAATATTTCCGGCATCTCAGAAGGCTTTCTTGTATCCATGCCCGTTGATACTCCCACAATTCTAACTAGTATCTCTATGGTTTATCTCACCGGTTCTTGAATTCCACATGGATATCCTCATGCATTCTTCTCTGCAGAACCTTTAACACATTCTGGTGCAATAATAAGAAGACCAGTGCAATTAGACTTCCCCTTTGCTTTCCTCCCCAGAGCTTCACCATGGCCTCCAGGAAACCACTCAGTTGTATCCAGCTTTGCAGACATGTTCACCCAGTACTTGATAATACGGCAGTTAATGCAAAGAAGCTTTACCTGTTTCTCACTTTGGGGAAGCCTCTAATTATACCTTTCCAGGAAATAAATTATTTTAGCTTATTGGACTTTACTAGCAGGATTTTAAAGAAATGACACATTGATCAGAACAGGAAACATGTTTAAAGGGAAGGGATATTTGGATATCATGTTTCTGTGTACTGGAAATAATGAAGCGTACATCAATTTTCTTGGTGAGGTGAGGGTCGGAGACAAATAGGAGAAAGACCAGTTAAGCCCAAATGAATCACCATTAGTGGGAAAAGAGGGCAGGTAGATCCTAAAGAAGAGATATGCAATGAGTATGGTATTTTGAAAGGTATGAGAAGCAAGAAATTACAATGTCATTAAAATTAAGTGAAAAAGGAGTAATGAGTAGAAAGGGAGGCTGACGAAATTAAGTGCAGTAGAAAAAGCGAGTAGAACGAGGCCGCCGAGGGGGCTGTGAATTTGTCCCGAAGGAATTGACCGGCAGCTTATTGGGGACAGTTGAGGTAGAGAGTCATCATGGCAGCAAAACTGCAATGCACTAAGAAGGCGTTAGTGGGGAGGAAATACAAATATTTGTTTAAACAATACAGTAACAAGTTATGCTTTATTACGGAGGAACAGGGATTAAATGATAGTTGAAAAAATATGGTGAACAGTTTCCTATGGAAACAGCAAGGCTGTGCTGAAGCTCACAAAGCTGGAGAGAAAGCATTATACAGGAAGGGAGAAGTTGGTGGCACCAGTAAGGGAGGGGGAAGCTTTAGCTCCTCCCTCAGAAGGGAAGAAAGGAGAATGCAAGTGAAAGTTTCAACATTTTCAGTAATGGCAATACAGATGCGAGGAAAAAGAAAGGAGATGGCCATAATGAAAAAGGAGATCACATTTTGATATATTTTGTTACCGCTCCCAAATTAAGGTTTCCCAAAGTTGTTACTTTCAGGGTTAACGAATATCAACAAATGTCTCACAAATATTTCACAAACACCATGCATCAGACGTTTCCCTACATACATGTCCTGAACATGCATATCCTTGCCTGGAAGAACCATTGTTTAGAAGGCAAAAGTACACAGAGGAAAACAAAGTAAAAATAACATTTATGTGAGTATTCTCATCTATATGATTTCATTTGAATCTCAAAATAACTTTAGGAGATAGAGAAGATAACTTCAGATGAAGAAACTGAAAATGAAAGAAATAGAATAAGTGTCAAAACTGCATAGTTAATTGAGACCCAGACCCCAGACTTCTGGGTGTTAGCTGGGGCCATCTCCCTGAAACCTAAAAGTCTGTAGTAGATTTGTCTGTGGATGTGCTTTCTTCACTTGTTCTCTGGCAGCTTGGGCCTTGACTTAGAAGTCAATGGTACCGGGGCACCTGGGTGGCGCAGTCGGTTAAGCGTCCGACTTCGGCTCAGGTCATGATCTCGAGGTTCGTGAGTTCAGGCCCCGCGTCAGGCTCTGTGCTGATAGCTCAGAGCCTGGGGCCTGTTTCGGATTCTGTGTCTCCCTCTCTCTGACCCTCCCCGTTCATGCTCTGTCCCTCTCTGTCTCAAAAATAAATAAACGTTAAAAAAGAAATTAAAAAAAAAAAGTCAATGGTACCTTCACCAATTCCATTTTCTGAACATGTAGTTGGATGATACATGACTATTACATTTCCCAAGGAAAAGGGGATTTGTGGCCATAACAACTTTATGCAAATTCCACCCAAGCAGCTGAGAGTTTTGAAACTTTACATACAAAAAGGTATGGGAAAGGGGTGAGCAGAATATCTTGTAAAAAATCTATTAAGTGGATAATCCAGATATTATGAATGTTACATTTTGTTTTTGTTTTTTTACCATCTCTATTGCCAGCTTTGACCTACTTATAAAAGAGAAAAGGGAGTTCAGTTCATCTCTTATCTGATTTGCTGAAATTGATCCTGCCTTCTTTTGCCTTGGTTGTACATACCACTTTTTTCTCTATTTAGGCTCATTTTGAGAGTTTGTTACATTTCTCTATGATGGATTTGCCTCTTCTTGTCTTATTGTCTCATATCTATATGTATGGACTCTAACTATTGATAGGGCATTTTCCTTTTCATTCATTCGTCCAGGAATGAACTGGACAGTTCTATCAATGAAAAAAAAAAAAACAGAAATTATTTTGGATCTATACCATGAAATATGGCAATTGCATTACATTATGAAAGAAATATTAGAACAATAGTTGTATACTAAAAAGATACTTTCTTACATCATATGGAAGTTATTGTAGTTCCTGCAGTTCATCTTTCCCACATATTTATTTTTATTCTACACTCTTTCTGTGATGTAGAAAGGTTGAATGTGATCTTCATTTATAGATAAAGAAAGCAAGATAGGAGGAGTGATTTGTTGATAGCCATACTAACAGAGGAAGAAATTTCCACCAAGAGTCCCAGACCAAGTAGAAGGAGGAAAAAAAAGCAGAGGAAAAAAAAGGTCTTCTGACTACAAATTCTATTATTTTTTACATCACAAGAAAATACAGTGGATTGATATCGCAGCCACGATCCAAATTTGTTTAAGTAAAGTATTCTTCAAAGAGACTGGATGGAATTACCCCATATAAATGTACATATCCAGTATATACCAGTATATATGATATGAGATTATCATATCTTTCTTATGATAATAAATTTCCATCCAAGAAACAAAAAAGATGAACATATGGAAAAAGGGGTAGAAGAGAAGAAAGGTTAACAAACTACAAGAGATTCTTAATGATAGAGAACAAACTGAGGGTTGATGGATGAAGGTGGGTAGGAAATGGGCTAGTTGGGTGATAGGTTTTAAGGCAAAAATTTATTGTGATGAGCACTAAGTGTTTATGTAAGTGATAAATCACTAAATTCTACTTCTGAAACCAATATTGCCCTCTGTGTTAACTAACTAAAATATTTTAAAAAGACAAAATTAATTTTTTTTATAAAGGAAGATAATACTACATAAGATAACTTCAATTCAGGTCTTTCCATGGCAGGACCTTTCCACTGTAATATCTTTCATACCTTTCCCCAGTCCACACTCCATGCTATTCCATCACTTCAACATTTGTTTCAATGTTTAGAACACAGTGGCTCCTCAGCAAAATTCAACTGCTTGACTGCATTTATTTTCCTGCCATTTTCTGTTTACTACCTACTAACTTGAGATCTTCAGGTCATGGACCTGAATTCCCCTGGCCAGACTGTTAGTGGGATTTTTAACACTAGAGAGGAAATCATTATGCAATACATATTTTTGCCCAATCTTCTAGAAACCTTGAGCCATTGAAGAAAGTAACTAATATGACCTCCTTAGTGATTCCACTCCCTTTGCCATGAATTTTATTAGTGAAAAGATTCTTTAACATGGAAGGAGAGGTAAATATCACTTCATCCAATCCTTTCAGTTTGAAGATGAGGGAATGAAGGTCCAGATAGGTTAAATAACCTGTTCAAAAGCATTCAATTTTTAAATGGTATTTCTTTAATGAGTTTATGCAATTTTTAAAAAATTGTGATAAAATCGAAATATAATATTGTGTAAGTTTAAGATGTACAATGTGCTGATGTGATACCTTTATATATTGTGATATGATTACCACTGTACTCTAGCTAACATCTCCATTACATTATATAATTATCAGGTGTTTTTTTTTTTGTGGTGAGAACATTTATTTAGTCTCTAAGCAACTTTGAAGTGTACAATTCAATATTGTTAAATATAATCACAAGACAGTACATTAGATCTCAAGAACTTATTCATCTTCTCACAGCAAGTTTGAAACCTCAGTTCCCCTAACCCCTAGTCCCTGCCAACCACCATTCTACTCTCGGTCTCTACAAGTTTAATTGTTTTAGACTCCACATATAAGTGATAACCATGCAATATTTGTCTTTCTCCGTCTGACTTATCTCACTTATCGTAATGCCCTCAAGTTGTATCTCTTGTCTTCCCACTAGTGCTATTGAGTTGAGAGTGTTACAGTATGATGATGATAACTAGATTATAGGTCCAATTTCCTCATCATAGTCTGCATATCCCCAGGCCCACCTGTACATCTTAAAATCACAAGCTTGATGGAAGTTGGCTTGTGACTCTCAGTGTACAAGTAAAGATAAGTTTATCATCACCAGTGGATGAGAAAAGGCAAG